GGCTGAGGCAAGAGAATCACTTAAGCCCAGGATTTTGAGGTTGCTGTGAGCTGTGATGCCATAGCACTCTACCAAGGGCAACATAGTGAAACTTTGTCTAAAAAAAGAAAGAAAGAAAGCAAAGAAAAAGACTGAAAAATCTTCAATGTATGCACTAAATATCAACCCAAGTCTTTCTATTGATGATTAATTTTATTGTGTATTGGGTTTAGAAATTTTAGCTAATAATACAAATGTTATTATAAAATTCTAGGTAATTCAGAACATAGAAAATACTATTCTGAAATTCAAGTTGGTAATATCACATTGCTAAGGTAACATTGCTTAGTGTAACAAAGTAATTTAAACTGCAATAGAGAAATATTCTTTAAAAGTAGAAGCACAAGACATATATCTCCTCTGATGTTTAGTATTTGCAAGTTCTTATGGTCATAAATAAGAACATTTGTTTTATTGTATAAAGCATGTAGGCCATCATATTTCCTTTTGGATCTCAATTTTGAATTCACTTTAATGGAATGATTCAATAAACAGTAGATAGCTTCTGCTTCATTGCAGTTATTTCTTAACTGGAGGCTAGGTTGAACAAAATGAATTCATAGATTTGTACATTAACTTTATGAATCCATTTAATTTTTAAAATTTAAATTTCACTGTGGTAAGAACATGTAACTTGAAATCTACTCTTTTAGATTTTTAAGAGTATAATATGATATTGTTAGCTATATGTCCAATATTCATTTCTCCCATGTTGTAGGTGTAACAGTGCTTGAAGGCCCTATTTATGCTGTGGGAGGCCATGACGGCTGGAGCTATCTGAACACAGTGGAGAGGTGGGACCCCCAGAGTCAGCAGTGGACATTTGTAGCCAGTATGTCCATTGCTCGGAGCACAGTGGGTGTAGCAGCATTGAATGGCAAGTAAGTAGATACTTATTCTTTTCTTAATCTGAAAGAAGTTATTGTGTGAATATGCTCTTGAAAATAATTTTAAATAAGCTGGTTTTATAAAAGCCTTTTGAAATATTTTAGGTGGTGGTTGTTTTTAAATTCAGTCTTCATGGATAATTGACAAAGACTCGTATTATCGCCATAGAAAACAGAAACAAAATTTTCTTCACATTAATTTCTGATCAAAAAAGTATTAAATATATTTCCTGATAATATGTATATTCTTTCTGATAAAATAATTGAGTAAGCTTCAAAGACTACTAAAATGCCTTTGGTGCTTTTTAGATTTTTGTTTTTTGCATAACTATATGTCTGTCCACTTTTCAAGCTTCTCCACTCCTCTCTCTCTAAATCTGATGATACTTGGGATCAGATAAATTTTTGTTAGGGGAACTGTGCTGTCTTGTGCATTGTAGAGTGTTCAGTAATATCCTGGGATTCTCACCCACTGGATGACAGCTGCATCTCTCACACATCCACCTCAGTTTGACAAGCAAAACTCTCCAAATGTTACCCAGAAGCCACTGTTCTGGAACCACTGGAACTTGTTGATTAGTTCTGCAGGGCTGAACCAGGACGCTGGGTCTGGGAGGGCAGGTATGAACCCTTTATCCAAGGGTGCCAGCTTGGAATTGTGGAGGCCAGCCTGGTTCTGAGGACAGTTTGGAGCCTGTAGTTGCCGGCACTCGCCTGGCCCTATGGTAGATTTGGAGACTGAGTCTGTCAAGACTCAAATCACAGGGCTACTGAGACTGGCTAAGACTTGGGGCCTGTTCAAAGTCTGGGGCCACCAAGGTTGGCCTGGCAGAGTGGCAGGTTTAAAGAGAGGCAGTTCCTAAGCACAGTCCGTGGTACTCACTTTGAGTCTGGGGCAGAGGGGCTCTGTTTTATTGGAGTAGTCACTGTGTTGGGGTCTGGGATGCCCACTTCCCTCTCCTTCCACATGCAAAGGGAAACGGTCTTCATACTGTGCTGCCTGGAATTGGAGGCAGTGTGACGTAGATATTGTATAACTATCCTCTCTACCGTCTCCACTGCATCTTTTCTGATTTCTGTGCTATACTCAGGTGCTGTAATCTGTCACCTGGTTTCCTTAGTTCTATCTAAAAAGATATTTTTGTGCATAGGTAGTTATTCAAATTGAAGCTTCTGCTGGGGGTAACAACCACTGGAAAGTTCTTCTCTGCCAACTTGCTAATGCCAGCTTTCTCCTAGTTGTATATATGTTTGAAACATTAATTTCATGTTTATATATTTATAAAAATCCATGTCTTTATTTATGGTTTCTTAAGGCTTGTGCTTTTTCAGACTTCTTTCAAGTTTACTTTAGGCTTAAATTATATTTTTAGGATCCTGTATATCATTTTAGAAATAAAAACCGAGATAGCACCCTGTGAATGAGTATGCATAAGTCCATGCACACACACACATGCAATGAATGTATATTCGTATTATATTTTCTATTTAATTCAAAAGTGAGGCATAAATCTTATAATTGCTCTTTTTCAAATGTTCTCTTGGCTACTTCTACTCTATTCTCTTTCTTTTAAACTTTGGTATGAATTTCTCCTATTTTAAAAACCACCCCCCCCAAATATCCTTTATAATATTACCTGTAAATAAGCATTTGTGGACAAATTTGAGAAAGACGTGAAATCTCTAAATTTGTCATTTTTTTCTGAAAAGATAGCCATACTTTTATCTTTTAAAATTAACCTGTATGTGTTTCAGGAATTTCAATTTTGGCACAGGTTATTACCTCTTTCTACAGTTATTCACAGGTAGTTACATTTTTTAAAGTTTTATCTAATTATATGTTCATAATTACAGAATTAAAGCAAAGACACTAATTTATATATGTGTTTAGAATAGCCATTTTAACTAAACTTATACGTTCTATTTTTTTAAAATTTATTTTATAATAGTATTTCTTCAAAACAGAGCAAACCGGTAATGAAACATTGTCTCTGCCTTCTTAGTATTTACCTTTATTTCCTTTTTATTATGTTGTTGTTTTATTTAAGGAATAATTACCTAAATAGTAGTAAGACTGGGGGTCCTTGTCTATCTGTTCTAGCTGTAAAACTTTTACAATGCTTGATACTCAGTGTTAGCTGTTACTGGGGATACAGGGATTGTGTAATGCTAAGGGCAGCATCCAATTGTTTGTAGTTTCCTTAGTAAAGATTTTGTTTTTGAATCAAGAGCATGCACAACATTTTCCATTATGATAGCGTAACATTTACTACATATAAATGGAAAATCTTCCTGCAATTTGTCTGTTATAATTGTCTATAAACATAAGAAGTATATAAAAATGAGAGTAGAAAGTTTATGCCTGTTATTATACTTAGTCCCTTTCAAATTTCTATTTTACTGAGATTTTAAAACTGCTTCTGATTTTATGGCTGCCCCTAATAATTTAATACTGTTTTATCTTCCTTTTATGTTGTTATTATCCTCCTTACTTGGTATTTTCCGAGTTGGCTTTATTACTAATTTCATCTTGTTAGCTTTTGCCAGTGTCAGTATATGAGTTTGTTTTTATTTTTAATCAAATGAGCATACAGAGAAGCTATGCTTATTTTCCTTCTTGTTTTCTCTTCATTAATGTCTGCCTGACTTATTTCTATTTATTATGTCTTAAAATTCAGAATTTGACAAAGATAACAGTAATGTTAATAATTGACTTTGTGGCTTATTTTTCTCTATGAATGTAACAACATTTTATGTATTCATTCTCCTATCCTTAACGACTGAATGTGGTTGGACATTTCAGTATTTTTCTCTTCTGGACTATGAAGATAATTCTGCTCTGAGCATCCTTGTTTATGTCTTTTGGTGAACATAAGTACGCATTTTAGCTGGATGTGGACCTAGAACTGAAATTATGAGACATTATATTATGGTATTCTTTTGTTCAGTGTTAGTAGATCCTGCTCAAACATTTTTGAAAATGGTTTTCCTAATTTACCCACACGTTGACAGTTTACCTGAATTCTGAGTGCACCACATCCTCCTGACCTGGTGATGTCAGTCTCTTGTTTGTTTTTATCACATTCTCTAATAGCTGATGAACAGCTGATGGACATCTTTGATGTCCATCTTAGCCATGAGCATATCTTCTGTGGAAGTATACTTTCTAGTCTTTCCCTGTTTCTATTTACCTGTGCTCATTTTCATTTCATTTTGCAGTGCTCTCTATAGCCTGAAAATATATCATTTCCAGAAGGAACCATCTCATTTTACTATCATTGCTATTAATATTATTACTACTTTCCAGGAAGGATGTGTTGTTTATATAATGCATTTCATTATATGTCTAAAAGGGACTTTTCTGGCCCAGTGCAGTGGCTCACACCTGTAATCCTAGCACTCTGGGAGGCTGAGGCTGGTGGATTGCCTAAGCTCAGAGGTTTGAGACCAGCCTGAGCAAGAATGAGATCTTGTCTTTAAAAATAGCTGGGTATTATGGTAGATGCCTGTAGTCCCGGCTACTTGGGAGGCTGAGGCAGGAGAATTGCTTGAGCCCAAGAGTTTCAGGTAGCTGTGAGCTATGACTCAATGGCATTTCACAAAGAATGACAAAGTAAGATTGTCTCCCCCCAGAAAGGTGGGGGACTTTCCTGTCAGTGCTCATGTTGTTTGCAAATTGGCTCTAGTAGTTTAATAACACAACTTTGTATCTTAACAATTTAATAGCTTATTATTTCTTGTATTTTACCTTTTTTTGAGGGAAGAGAGGAGTATGTATATTCCCAGTGATTTTTTTTTCCATTTTCTATAATTTATTAGTTTTCTAAACAAAGATAACTTAATGTAAACTTTTGTTAAGTAGGCATAAAAATTTGCTAGCTGAACAAAAATTCAATAAGGGAACATTTTATTATAAATGCATGAATGTAAGGAAATAGCTATCATTCCCAGGGCTCAAAAATTGGAAAAAAAAAAGTTGAAATTATTAAGATTTACAATCTTGGAGAAAAGGTGCCATGCAGATGAAACTCAGCTTTCTTTGAGCTAGAGCTGATGTCTTAGCATGAGAAAGAGGTTTCCTTTGCTGTGGGACCTGGACGTCTGAGGAGCAGATGCCAAACTGCTGATGCCACCTGCTCTGAGTGGTCTCAATGAAGCTGGCTGCAAGCATTGAAAAAAATGCAATATATATATATTGAATTTTTATGTGTATATATACATATACACACGCACATACATACATATATATGTATATACACAGTATAAGTATATATACGTATGTGTCTGATACTACAGAATAATTGTTGGTGCTGAGTGAGAAAAAAATGGTGACATTCCAGGTGGTGCCTGTGGCTCAGTTAGTAGGGCACCGGCCCCATATACCAAGAGTGGTGGTTTCAAACCTGGCCCCGGCCAAACTGCAACAAAAAAATAGCTGGACATTGTGGCGGGAACCTGTAGTCCCAGCTACTCGGGAGATTGAGGCAAGAGAATCTCCTAAACCCAAGAGCTGGAGGCTGTTGTGAGCTGTGATGCCACAGCACTCTGGAGAGGGTGACAAAGTGAAACTCTGTCTCTAAAAAAAAAAAAAAAAGAAAAAAAGATGGTGACATTCCACATGGAGGGGAAAACAAAGGAGCAAGACTTTTCCTCCTCTAGTTTTTCAGTTTCTTGTCAGTTTGTAATGTCAGATCCAAACAAGACACAAGGTGGCAAAGCAGAAAAGTGCTTTACAGAATTTCAGCTGCCACTTCAAAAGCCACATATACCAGAGAGGATGTGGATTTGAGAGACATCAGCTTTGAAACAGGCACGTCCTTCTCAAATTCAAAATGTTTACTGGGGGACAATCTGATGGCTCCTTCCCCTCTTTCCATAAGCACTGGAGATTCATGTGACAATCTCACCATATCTTTCTTCCACTTAGAAAAGTTTCTACCTACTGACACTTGTGTTTAATTGTTCCCTTTTGATTTGGGATATCTATTTTAGTA